ATATGTACCACATTTTGTTTATCCATTCTTCAGTTGAAGGGCATCTAGGTTGTTTCCATGTTCTGGCTATTACAAACAATGCTGATATGAACATAGCTGAACAAGTGCTCTTATGGTGTGGTTGAGCATTCCTTGGGTATATGCCCAAGAGTGGTATAGCTGGATCTTGGGGGAGATGGATGACAATAATTTTTTAATATAATTTTCTCTAAGGAGATAAATAGTTTTGTCTTTCTTCCAATTTGATGGATCAAAATCTATTACTGAGGGGCAGAGAATGTAGCTCAGTTGGTAGACTATTTGCCTAAAATGGATTAAGTCCAGGGTTTGAGCTCCAGCATTGCATAAACTTGGTGTGGTAGTGTACATCTGCAATCCTAACACTTAGATAGGTGAAGGCAGGAAGGTCAAAAGTTCAAGAGCATCTTTGGCAACATAGTGAGTTCAAGGCCAGCTTAAAATACATGAGAACCTGTCATCTATAACTAAATCTGGGGTACAAAAAACACCACCACACACAGACTCGCTCACTGTAGTTCTGCCAATGGAACCATTAAAGTGGGAACTGACAAATTGTATTTGTATCAATCACCCCAAAAGAAAAATGTACATTGTATAACAATGCATATTTCTCAATCCTTTCCTTAAAACAGAATATTTCTGATGATTGCATGTACAAACCTCTCCCAAACATTTTCCCTGTTCCTTTGTAGACACATGTTTACACGTTTGTTACAGGAGTCATAAGACATGTCCAAACAGGAACCACATCACATTTCTCCGTGCTTTTCTGTAGGAAACAATCACACACTCGGAGGTAAGAGTTAGGGCTACAGAATGGAAGGAGAGGCCAGTTCAGAGGCTCATTCGGCTGTGCTTGTGAACGCAACAGAAGTGTAAGCTGACATACTCATAGTAGAGATAAAAAGTGACAGAGTGAGACATAGTCCAAAGGGAGAGCCAAAGTGATCTGCAAGCTGATGTGAGAGGCAAGAAAAATAAGTTCAGAGTGGTGCTTAGAAAATTACATCTTTACAGAGGATTATTCTCGGTGCTTAAGTCTAGCATGGGGCCTGAAACAACTGTATCTCAAGACATACCCATTGAGAAGCTAGAGAGATATTCAACAGTTAAAAGTTACTAAGCTTTTGCAAAGGAATCCAGTTCAATTCCCAATACCCACCAGTACTGGAAAACTCCAGCTCCAAGTGGATCTGAAGCCTCTGACCTACAATCACATGCACATACTCCCCAGGCACATGCACACACATACACAATTAAAAATAATAAAACAAGTACTTAAAGAAATATTAATTGAACCAGAGGTGGTTTTTCCTTCTAGATGTTCTTCACATCTAGAAAAAAATCATATGGAGGAGTCTAAATTGTTACTATTATGATCCCAGCAAATATTTCTGAAAATTTCTCCTGCCATCCCCTGACAAACCTGCTGAGACCAGAGAAGAGAATACTCAGTCTGCCATATATTAGCCTTCCTCTGGCCTCCCTGATACTTCCTGTGTTTCTTTTATCCTTAATGCAGAGTAATTTACCAAATCTTCTAGTGAGCCATGTGCAAGCCTTCATAACTGGCATTTAGAAGACCAAGCCTAAAGCAACCTTCAGATCTCATGCTCTGTAGGAAGGCTGTATGTTGGTGTTAACTGTAAATGGCACTGTTTCCTTACATAAGGCAGCAAATAGAGTGGTCCACCTACTCGATGATGTCCGTTTGTTCTACTTTCACTACCTGCCCTGAGAGATAAAAATTCACTCTTTCAGAGACCACATTGAAACTAGGGGAAAAGGATGTGACACCTTTCCAGCCAGCAAGAAGAAAATATCTCTTGGGAACTTCTAAGAAAAAAAAAAATGTCCCTTTCTGCTAGCTCTTGCCTAGGAGAGAGGCGTAACGGTTGGAATGGTACAGCTATCTCAAGATATTAAGTGAAGCAAATAAAGAGACTCACACAGACTTCAACCTGGCCATCCATGCGCAGTAGTTCACTGGTAAGGCTCACCCTGTCCCAGCATCTGTGTATGAAAAACATGGCTTTATGTATTCATCCCACTATCAGCCCACCTTTCTGAGGCAGGCAGACAATTCCTAACGGTTCCATAGGTGGTTCCCTAAAATGACTTATTTCTTGTAACTAAATCTAAATTAACTTCTCATTTGTAAATTAGCTATTTTGTCCTGATACCACAATTTAGGAAAGCATTTAATAACAATCACCTGGGAGTTCTGGATAGCAACCATTATCAACCAAAAAAAGAATCATACTAATTTTATAAACACAGTATAATTAACATACAATAAACTAGTGAAATACAAAGATCTGAAAGTAGAAGTAAGATAAAATCCCAAAGTTAAAGAGTTTGATAAATAGCAATTTGATGAATGTTCCTTACAGTCAACAGTCTTTACCTTGGAAAGCTCCAACTTTGTCACTGCTCTTTGTCAACCAACCAGATTTGCTATAATAGACCTGCCTATGTGTTCAGAACTTGAAAATATCACTAAGTTCCTCCCTAGAAATGTTTTCATCTTGTCCAGAGACATGGGAGAAGCCACACACCCCAAACAAGCAGCATGCAGGAGCTATGGAGGCTGTGAAAAGGTAATGGGCAGAAGACAATCTCACCAAGATTACATTCCATAAAGTGGAATTGGCAACATCTGCTCAATCTACTGTAGATAAACAGTGAACTATTTTCCATCTCATTAACCGAGAGGATGAGATATTAAATAAACCCCAGGGGCCTTGTGCTTTGTTATCACATTTAAGCCTTGGCCCAGACTTGCTGCATTGGCTAATCTGAGTAGTGGTTTACTAAAATCCTCTCTCTCTCTCTCTCTCTCTCTCTCTCTCTCTCTCTCTCTCTCTCTCTCTCTCTCACACACACACACACACACACACACACATGATTTCCAAATGGATTAAGACCAAAAGTCTCTGCTTAATTTGACTGTTTCTCTAATTACTAGACACTTAGCTTGCATTATTAACTATGTCTTCAGCTGTGATATATGATACCTGTAGGTCCCCAAACAGGATTCTAATAGAATTATCTAATTCTATTAAACTGCAAACAACTGTCCATTAAATATTTATTAGCCAGCTTGCATTTACTGAAGATAGAGTGGCATGTCAGCAAACCTCTGGCTCCCCTTTCTCAGAGCCCAGTGGCATGAGGGCTCAGCCACAGCAGCTCATCAGAACTATGCGTATTGATCACCTGCCAATTACCTGTTTAATCAAAATCAATGAAAACAAAAAGAGTTTAGAAGAACTTACAAGGTGTGGTATGGATTTTTTTAATACTTGGTTAAATAAGTAAATTGGTTAAAATCTAGCTAAGTTGATTGTAAACACTTAAGGCTTATTTTACCATGGGAGAAACTACTGGCAGATAAATAATCAAATTTTCTTTTTCAGATTGGTGAATTGTATTTTTAATAAAGAGTTAAAGAACTGTCGGAGTTAGTCACCAGGGAGAAGAGCTATTTGATGTCAAGGTTTGGGGCTGAAATGCCTACTTTTTTAGAGCCATATGAAAGATAACCTGACACCTTTGGCATACACCCCTTCTTCAGATGGGAAGCATGTGGGCAGTTTTAGACAATCAGATTATGCAAGATGGCATGTATTCTCTCACTAAAAATGCAAGAACCATCTGGATTCTTGCAGAGGATCTGGGAAGAATGAACAAGGAATATCAGTGCTCCAGAAAATCCACTTGGATAAGAATTGTTCAAATTGTGAAACTCTACATCCACTCTAAGCAACAAAAGGCCAGAATGGAGAAGGAGAAGGAAGGGGAGCATGTCATCTGACCTTTGTTCGACTGGTTTCTCAACAATCAGGGAAGATCAGGCCAGAAGAGAAAGGCATGGGTATAGAATGTGAGCAGCAGGGGGCGGCAGGCACTGCTCACTCCAAGTGGTTACCTTAATGGGGTCAACCCCCACCACAGCCTTAGAGTTTGGTTTTAAGAAATGCTACTGTCCAGAGTAGAGTAGTTAGGATAAACGTGAAAATTAGCACTAGACTCCCACGTCATTGAAAACAAACCAACCAACGTAAAACAAACAGCTAGTGCAATCCAAACATTAATTTCATAAACTTGCACTGAATGAAACTACACCAAAATAAATGAGTGCTCTGTATAATTTTTTATTTAAAAACAAAACAAAAAACAAAGCCAGGAAAACTTTAGCCACTTTTAAGCAGAATTGTGGCTTCTTTTGGTAATAAGTAAGCACTTAGTGACTGGATAAGGGGTAGCAGGGATGGCTTCGATATGGTTTGGTAACAATCCCATCTCGAAGCTGGTTACAAGGAACTAATCTATTTCAGTGTTTTTTTTTTTTCCACTTTCTGGGATGTATATGATTTTTCCAATAAAACGTTTACTGTCCCTGTCCGAAAAGTGAAACAACAGAGCAATTTATTTGAATGGCCTCTGGCAAGTCACTTATCTCTGGACTTCAAAGTTCCCATCATGTGTAAAATAAAGCAGTTGAACAAGATGATCTTCAGATTTCTGTTGCAGAAATGCGCTGATACTACAAAGACTGCTAGTCGCTCAAGAACAAAATGGGTCAATAAATCTGTACTGCCATCAATCCCATGTTGGCCATCCAATCTCACATTTTACACCTTCACCCTCTTCTTTGGTTAAATAAGGAAGAGAATTCTAGAAGGTTTTGAGGCATCTGTTGTCAAGGAATTATCCCACTGGCTGGATTAGATAGGTAGGAAGATATATGTCAGTAGATACATAGATGGATAAATGGTTATAGATTGATATATACATAGATACATAGAGAGACACATAGACACATAAATAGATATATAGATACATAGACAGACATGATAGATACATAGAGGAATATACAGTAATAGATACATAGAAAGCTAGTCTTAGAAAATAAGACAAAATTTTTACAGGAAAATAGATGTAACTGTAGACCATCATATTATGTGAAATAATAGTGCATCTTTTCTGCCACATATTGAACTTCAAGAAGAGAGAAAGAAAAATACACAGAGACACAAAGAGAGAGACAGAGAACATGAATGTAAAAGGGACACTATTTTAAAAAGTAGTACTCAAAGAAGTATGGAGGAGACAAGAGAAAATAACAGAGGCAAACACGATCAAGGTACATGATATATTTAAACGAATTGTCATTATGAAACCCGTTCACTTTGTATAATAAATATACGCTAGTAGGTTTATGTTTTGGTTTGTTGAAATGGGATTTTACATAATCCAGGCCGGCCTGAAACTTTCTGTGTAGCCAAGGCTAGCCTTGAACTCCTGATCCTTCTGCCTTTACCTCCCAAGGACTTCAATTTCAGGCATGTGCCACTGCATCCAGCAAAACTATTTTTTAAAAAGAAAGAAGTTCAGATGAAACAAGGGAAGGAAGACAATAAACAGGCAATTTCAACCCACTTAATCTGCTGCTTTCTTTTTAATTTTTCTGTTCTTCCTTCTTCTCAAGAATCTGCCTCAGAAGTTTCTTTCAGTTCTCCATCCACATGGAATGTGTCCCAAGTCATTTGGTCTGAAGAATTTATGATTCACGGTTCTGAAATTAGGCAGAATGGACTTCTAAGGAATGTTGAAACAAAATAATACATCCCTCTGCTTTCCCACCTAATTACCCAATGTCCCCTCCCTCCTTTAGAGAATATTCCGAGATTAAGGCAATGAGATAGATCCCAAGCTTTATCCACCCTGAAGACGATGCTAAAAGTCAAGAGCCTTGTGCATTTAGAGAAGAGGCAATACTGACACATCTCCTCATCAGCTGAGGGCGAGAAGAAAGGAGGATGTTGTGTAAAGGGTTCCATTTCTCAGCTATTAGTTACCCATGGAACTGTACCGAAGCACTGCCGAAATTTCCATTCATCTGTGGTAGGAAAAAGAGCAGAGATCTCTCTGCTCGTAGAGCTTTATTAAGGCATGTTGGAGATTCATTGGGGAATGAGTAAATGTCACCAATTCATAGCCAAAATAATGGACAGACAGAACCTAAAACCCTCAAGTATGAAATATCACAACTTTTAAATTCCCTAGCAGTGCATCTCTTAAAAGGACAAAATAAAGTACAAATCAAGAATTGTTCTTTGGAGGAATATTCCTAGATCATGTTGTCAGGAAACGAATAATATGTCATTCCTCCTTAACTTCCTGGGAGAGTAGAAGTGTCAGGAGAATATGCAATGAGCAAGCTACCTGATGCTGTGCCTTAGGAATCTTAAACAGAGACCAGAAGCAGGTGGATTGCTTTTCCTTAACAAGGCACAAGCATCTCTGGAGAGCACCCCCTCCCCAGGCAACGAGCTGCCTTTTGAAATGTCTTTGTTTGATTCTCTCCAACCTAGGGCTGAGGTTCTGCTCTCTGCAGAGGAATATTTTGAATGCACAGTTAGCCCTCCTTATCCAGAGGCTCCACATCTTCTGACACAGCTAACCACAGACCAAAAATATTCAAGGAAAAAAAAAACCCTGCATATGTCCTGAATATGTACAAGCATTTTTATGGCCATTTTACCTTAAGCAATACATCATAGCAGCTATTGATGTAGCATTTTCACTGTGTTAGAAATTGTAGGTAATCTGGAGATGGTTTGTTGAGGGGGGATTGCATAGATTATATACAAATATCACAGCATTTTACATGAGGGATTTGATCACTCATGAACTTTAGTATCCCACAGGATCCACTGTGGATACCAAGGGACAAGTGTTTATGTTTAGACATCAATCTGCTTCCCGGATCTTTGAGGGAAAATAAGGCGGGGGGAGGGATTGTTCAAATGTTATTAACCCATAACAAATATCATGAATCGAAGCCCATTAAAGAAAGAGTCTATGGCTGAACAGCCTTTCCTACCCTCTGGAAGTGGAAAGGAGTCAGTAGAAGAGACAGAAGCAAAGAAGAGAGTCTAAGAGGGAACAGGGACACACTGCTGCTGCCAGAAGTATTCCATAAGGAGCTAAGGGCTGCACGGATGCTAATCCTCATGATGCTACATGTCACCCCTCAACCACTGCTGGGCCTGAGATTTCTAACCATCCCCTGCATACTTGTTTTCCATAGTAATAGGAGTTTTATCTGTACACATAGCTGCTAAGTTAGACTCCATTCCCCAGGCTTCCTTAAAGGGAGGCACGGCTGTGTAACAAGTCAAGGGGGAATAGCAGAAATGACGTGTGCAGCTTCCTGGCCATGTTTGAAAGACAAGGCACATGCAATCGCATTATTCTTTGTCTTTCCCAATTGCTGGAACTCAGACATGGTGACAGGAGTTAAAGAACCCATCACAAACCAAGAGAAAGAAGTCACATGGTAAAGAAGGAAAAGCACCCACTAAAGAGATGGCTCGGTAGTTAAGAGTGCTTGCTGCTCTTATAGAGAAGCACCTACACAGGACAGCTCACAACTACCTGTAACTTCAGCTTCAGGACGTCTAAATCCTTCTTCTGGCCTCTGTTGGAAACCACACATGGTGACATCCACTGACACAGATACACACACATAAATAAAAATGAAAATAAAATCTACTTTTTAAAGGAATGCAGGACAACAAATAAGGGCACGAGTCCACAAGCTAAGCCTTCAGCTGATTACACTCAACAGCCAAGCCTGTATTCTATAACCATCACCATCCTTTGTGCTATTGGGAATGATGATTTTTCTCTACCCCTTACTTTGTCAGGCACCTCCATTAAACATAGATGGTCCCTCGCCAAATAGCCTTGCCCAACCCTCCACCGTCACTACCAAAACCAGACATTAAGGCATATAAACAACTTGTAGAACTGTGGTCATCTGAATCACAGGCACCGTCCAATCCAAGTGGAACCCTGATGAACCATTTCAAAAAGTGCCCACTGATGCCTTTCCCTCCAGTAAGGAAACTTAAGAGGCAAGCCTGAACAGGAGCACCTAAATATATTACAACTGCCATAAACTGGTAACTGAATAAATAAGTGCATGGGGAATGGGAATGGGAATGGCAGGGGGTGGGGCTGGACCTAAAATAAATTTAACAGGCTGCCTCCTCTTTGTGTTCTGCTTTTAATCAGCTGGTTTCCAGGCCTGGCTTTGCAGAGGAGGAGATGTGACTCACAAGCACTCTTGCCAGAGACAGATGCCTGTGGGTTTTTTTTTTTTCTTTTTAATTCTATCAGACAGGGATCTGCAAGAAATTTGGATGAGGAAAAAGGCCAATGGTAAACATGCTTGGAATCAAGGCAAATTTTCTGAGGAAACTGTGCAAGATTTTTTTTATGCACTCAGAGTTGCTAAAACTCTTTTCAAAGACAAAACTAAAGGATGGATCAAGAGTTTAAAGACTGAGATAAAATACTCAGGTCATTCGGTTCAACTCTGTTTTCCTAAACAAGCATTATGGCATATAATACAAAGTGGGCAAGCCTCGAGCATATAGATTGTTATAGTTGAATAACTTATTGTATGACTAGCAAATAAAAGGGACAAGGACCTTGTTCAAAATCACACATGATTCAGGGAAGTTGAGGACAGAGCTGACTCAGCCCCAGGCCCAGCATGTTTACTATGCTACCCTTTTTCATTCAGCAACATAATCTTTCCCTTTGAAAACTGGCATCAAAATCCATGCCTACATTTCCCCTCTCCAGGGTTTCTAGCAATTAGGATAATTCCAGCTTTAGGTAAGAGGAAACTTGCAAAAGGCAACTGAAATTATGAGATGCCTGTGACTACCTCACAGAAAACCCACTTGCACCAGGTCTGATCCAGCGTCATCCCGGGTATAGGAATTTTCCATTTTTCTGCTACCCTATTCTTCCTGCTGCTCTCACCATTGGGAATGTTTCTCCACACTCGCCTTTTTGCATCTCACAAAAGCACCAAAACAGAAGGACCACAAAGAAAGGATCCTTAACAACTTCCTTCCTATGCTGCTGTAGTCTGTTTGTTCATGTGTTTGTACAAAATCTTGCTGTGTAGCTCAGGCTGGTCTTCAATTCAAGAGCCTCCTTCCTCAGCACCTTGAGGGCTAGTATAACAAGCATGCACCACTATACCATCCATACCTATTAATAAAAAACCAAGTGTCTCCCAAAGCCTTCATACTTCTGATGGTGTCTCATTGGTTAAGATTGGATTGTGTACCTACTTCTGAGCCAATCACTGGCAAAGAAAGGAATGAGATGGCAATAAAGAGCTTAAAGCAATTGTGATTCACCAACTAACGCTAGGCGCCAGTCCGTTCCATGCAAATGTGTTAATAAAGATGGAGAGCAAATGGCTGTTTGAAATTGCCTGTGAGATTCTACCACATACCTGGGTTATTTTAACTCCTCTTCTCCCCAAGATTAAGAATAACCTATTGGTATTGAGCCCCAGCAACATTAGACATGAGAGAAGGAGTTCATTCAGTTCAACAAATATTTATGAAGCACCGCCCTTTTAAAATTATCGCTAGTTCTTTGAGAATTTCATCCAATGTGTTTTGATAACACTTACCACAACCCCCTCAACTCCTCCCAGATCCACCCCTTTCCTCCCCGCCTGAGTTTGTGTTCTCTCTTTTTTAACACATCAAATGCAAATGGTGCTTCCCACAGTCTTGGATGTGTGACCTTCTGCTGGAAAGTGGTCACCTCACCAGGGGCTACATTCCTAAAGAACACTGACTCTCTCCCAGCAGCTCTCAATTGCCCATAGCGCCATGCCTAGGAGTGGGACTTCAAATCCACCTTCCCTCTCCATGTTGCTCTGGCAGGGCCTTGCACGGGTCTACTGTATGCTTTTATGACAGGTGTGAGCTCATACGGGCAACTGCCCAGCTATGTCCAAAGGTCACTATTTCCTCGTGGTCATCCACCACCTCTGGCTCTTACACTCTTCTCCCAACCCCCTTCAGCCTCAGGAGGAAGGGATGTGATATAGATGTCCCAGTCAGGGCTTGGCATTTTTCAGTCTCTGAACCTTGGTCATTTGTGGGTCTCTGTGTTAATCATCATCTACTGGAAATAGAAGATCAATAGTGACTGAGAGATGCAATCATCTATGGGTAGAAGAGTAAGTCATTATGGGTCAGTCTAATATTGGGTCCATTCAGCAGAATAACAGTAGTAGGTTCTTTCCTAGGGCTTATGACACCTATCTAGCTGCAATTTCTTGGCTTGATAATGATGCCAGGTAAGGTTTCAGCACATGAAGTGGGTCTTAATTCCAATCTGAAATTGACTAGTTACCACCATGATGTTCTATGAAGCATTTTCCATGTGCTAGGTCTTCCCAAAGGACTGAGAACTAAAACAGCAACAGCACTGATGCTTTGCTGTAATCCTCAGGGAGGTCACACTATACAAAAGCAAATGAAGACCACAAAAGACATTACTACAATACAATATGATGCTTATGCTTATGGAGAAATCTCCTAGAACCATAGGATTGTAAAAAAAAAAAAAAAAAAAAAAAAAGACATGAGCGGGCTGGTTGTAGATGGTCATGCAAGGCTCCAAGTGCTACCTCCAGAAGCTAATATGGAGATGCAATAGGAAAAGTAGTGTGTGTTCCAGACAAAGACAAACAGGGGTCAAGTACAAGGGACCGGTGAGACTATGACGGGTCTGAAAGCTGAAAATTCAGTATGACTACAGCACAGAACGTAAGGCAGAGAGATCAATGGCGATTAGAGAGGCAAAGGCTAGAATATAAAGTAGCTTGGGAACAGTGCTGACTGATTTCAAGTTTTTGACAGTTTGATGAAGGACCTACCAACGCAGCTGTAGGTGGGGTTACAGGTGTGAAAACAACTAGAAGACAGCAGACAGAGAGGCAACCTCCTCAAGACATTGCTACTCGGTGGCTTGCAATTCCCTGTGCCAATTCTCTGTCTATTGAGGCTATTACAGACCAGGCTGAAAATAATGCACGAGTTCAGTGTGTCAACAGCTCCCCAGCAGAAGGGCTAGTGTGGGAAGCGAGTACACCCTGACAGCCCAAGGTCAAATATTTAACATTATTACAGAGCCTAAGTATGAAACACTGAGCGCTGCCTTAGCGCCTTACTTGAAAGGCTCGCAGCTGCTAATATTTACAGAAATAGGAAGCAATTACAGTTCGCTGCCACAGGAGGAACTTAAATAATTTAAGACTCATAATGCCTCTGATTCTTTTCAAGCCATCTTTTTCTCCAGAACCAGCTGCTTCTAGCGCTCAGAGAGCCCTCTCTTCAGAAGGCAGAGTCAACCTGATGTGAGGCTATACTTTCTTTCTCCCAGAAACTCAAGCACACAGCTTTCTGGCAGTTACTCCACTTCTCCCACACCCGTACTTCAGCTCTGGAAAGGACCCCTTTTTCTCACCAGCGATGAAATTCCACAGCCATCTGCCTGGGCTAATCTGGGCAAACTGGCATGAGCAGAGAGAACCGTAATGTAATTCCAGAAATTAAACTAATTTATTTCATTCGCCATTTTCATGACATAGATGTGGCAGCAAGAATCGAGAAGAAAGGGAAATGGAGGGAGAGAATTGAATGTGTTGAATGTGCCGAGGAAAGGCAATGGGAGTCAAGTTCAAAGTGCCCCATCAAACTTTATGTGTAGACAACTACGGAACCCTCATTGTATAATTCGTCTGTACGTTTGTTATATACAAATACTATATAATTCAATTGTGTCATTGTTTCTGTACAGTAGGAAACAAACTGGTGAGTGGAGCAATAGAAGGAAGACAATAGTCCATCTGGGATTTGATTTGTCCCTAGTATCACTCCACAGTTGTTATAAGAATGAAAGGATGTTGAGTTCCCTGTCTGCACTACAAAGTTTCAGCACAGCACTAACTCCCTGGCTGGGTTTACTCAGGGCCACAGTATCCACTCTTAGCATATTGGATGTTCTAGGGTTTCTGGCTTCCACCACCTTTCATTTCTCATCATCTGCTCTCATGGGATGCCATCACACTAGAAGATAATGAACTTACCCTCTGGTATCTAGAATGCTGTTTTCAGATCCCAGCTTAGCATATCTGTGGCTCCAGAGGCTGGTCACCAGCTTCTATGTCTGAAACGTAGAGATACAGTCACAAGCATGTTTTAGGAGGAATTAAATTACTGTAAGTGAAGGGATTTGACATAGATCCTCAGAATATTCAGACTATTGGAAATAGCCAGTAATGCTACCCCCTTTCCTTCTCCCACATTGCCAGTTCTTTTTTTTTTAGCATTATTTTTATTAATATGTTTTGAGATTGTCATACCAGTTCCATAATTTACAACTGGTAAACTGTGCACCTCTGTAACATCTATGATATTTGAGGGACGTGCTGGTCACCTTTTCTTCTTTGGACCTTGAAAGTAGACACAAATACATTTTTTTAAAGTTTTGTTATATAAAATGTCTGTCTCCCAAAAGGCTCATGCAGTGAAAGCTCAAAGACAGCTCAAAGATCTAATCACTGGAAAGTGATTAAAGCAAGAGGGCTTTGACCAATCCAATGAGTAAGTCTCTTGGAGGATCTGTGGTATGATGGCATTGTACGGGGGTGGTGGAAATTGGGAGGTAAGGCTAGTTGAAGGAAGTAGGTCACCTGGTAAAGGTGGGGGCAAGGTTGAAAGGTATGTCTTGTCCTAGCTCCTTCCTGTGAACCTCTCTGCTTGCTGACGATCATCAGGCAAGCTCCTCTTATCCAACACATTCTTTCCCCATGATGCTCTGCCTCACCATTGGCTCAGAGAATAATGTATCAAGTCAACCATAGACTGTAACCACTGAACCATGAACCAAAATAAATTCTTCATCCTTTTAAGTTGCTTCTCATGTACTTAGTCATAGCAGCCCAGTGCCTAACACGGACCTTTTAGTGAGTTGAGTTGCATCCCATGATATTCATCTACTGCAGTCTTAACTCCCACTATGTGACGGCATAGTTTAATGTAGAAATAGAGTCCTTGAAGATATTGTTAGTTCTTATGAGGTCATAGTGGAATGGGGCAGATTCCTAATCCAATGTGGCAGAAGGGGATATTCAGCTATAAGTACACACAAAGGGAGAATGGCATGTGAAATGGCGGTAGAAATCAGTATAATGCAGTAGATGTCTAGTCAAACTCCAGACTTAGAAAGGAGCCCAGAATGGGTAATCTCTCACAATCAATAAGAGTACAAATTCACTGACACCTCAACATCATACATCTACTATCCAGAACTGATGGATGACACATCCTTGTATGTAATCCACCTAGCTTACAGGCTACGTTACAGCATCCCTAGAAAACTAAGCCAGATCCACTGTTATTTGTATCTTGTGTACACACTAGCTGCTGTCACCATTGAAGCTCTTTTTGTAAATTTCCAATGACTGAGGAATTTGGTTGTAAATTCAATCCTATCCTGTGCAAATAGCAGCTTGACATAGGCAGGTTTGGCTGGGGGAGGGGGGACCCTAAACCACTCCTCTTTGTCTCCTCAGTCTTAGAGCACTTTACATAAGAATGCTCATTAGGCATGATAGGTTATGTCTCCAGTTCCAGGACTCAGAAGGCAGAGGCAGGAGAGATTTTCATGAATTCAGGGCTACATGGTGAGTTAAAGGCCAACCTAGTCTACCAAATGAGACCCCATGCAAGGAGGAGGGAGGTAATTCTCATTGTTTCTATTTTGGGTATATGCATGGTTTTGTGGAGACAGAGTTTCTCTGTGTAGCCCTGGCTGTCTTGGAACTTACTGTGTAGACCAGGCTGGCCTCCGACTCAGAGATCCGCCTGCCTTTGCCTCCCAAGTGCTAGGATTAAAGGTGTGTGCCTCCACATCCACTTTGATTCTATTTTTGAATCCAGTTTTCCACTAGATTTCAAGCTTCCTGGAGCTTGTCTTTCTTTTCTTCATATTCCCAGCATAAAGATGGGAATGATTATAACATCTTTTGAATGCCTAACTTTTACCAAGGACTATGGTAACTACTTTGAAACTAGAGTCTACGAATTGCTCCTTATACCTGTCATATGCCAGGCATCTCCCCCTCTCATTGCCCTTAAAAATAGCCTGGGACCAATTTGGGCACCTGAGTAACTAAACACTTGAAAGTGGTTTTCCAGTGACTGTGGTAGGCACTTTGAATTTAGAGTCTACAAACAGATCCTTGTGACTGGCCTATGCAAGACATGTCCCCTAGACCCTGAGAGGAAGGCACTACTATTCTGTTTTATAACAGGTGAAATTGGGCTCCAAACATTAAGATAGCGGATGATGACATCTTTTTAATCTGTTGGTTTCAGGAACAAATAAAAAAAAAAAAGCCAAATTGAAAGTGGAGGCTTGCTTGAATCATGGATTCAGTAAGGGCAAGAAGTGTGATAGAGAACGAGTAACTGGAAGATACAGTCTCCCAAATCATCTATAAGTAAAGCACAGACTATATCAATAAGCCCCACTGGGTAAAGACACAGTTCCATCTCTGAGCAAATAAATGTAAAATCTAGAATGTCATTGTTTTTGTAAGGAAGTCTGACTCAAAATGACTGCTTCTCTTCAATTATGTGTTAATTAACCCTAACCCTAAGATTATTATCTAAAATGCCAAGTTAAAGTTGTAACTTTCTTTTAACTCTTCAACACAGCAACTTGTGAAGCAGATAAATATTTCAAGACCAAAACTAGATCAAATGCATATGTACAGATATAGATTAAGTTGGGGGGGGGGGGGTTTCTGTACCTTTGAAACTTTGAAATCATTTTAGTACAGATTTCTTTAAATGAACTCATTTCTCCAACATAATATTTTTATTAATCATTTGGAAATTTCATACAATGCACCTCAATAACACTCCCTATTCCTCCCAGGTCCACCCTACCACCCTGTGCCCTCCCCCTCCAAAAAAATACATCAAGTCCAATTTGTGTTGCCCATATACTCAGTGGAGCATTGTAGCACAAATTCTAATTGGTCTTAATAATAAAAACCCCCAAGTTAGATATCTGGGTAAATGCTGAAAGATCAGGAAAGCAGAGCAGCCAGCCACTAGAAAGACTTCTTACCTCTACTGAATCCTCAGCCTCAAAAGGACCAGCTCCTGTGTCCACTCTGCCCTGCCACTTCCTCTCTCTGCCCAGTCACATCACTTCCTGTTTCTTCATCCCATGTGCTGGGATTACAGGTATGTGCCACCACTGCCTGACCCCTAGTGGCTAGCTCTGCACTCTGATCTCCAGAAAGCTTTATTCGTGAGAGCACAAACAAAAACAGAGGGTGGCCAAACTCCCAGTGGCCTTCTCCTTAAAGAAAACTGAGTCCTTCCCCACTCTACCACCCCCCAGAAGCCATCAACCGTGAAGGGCAACATTTCAGCATCTTTATTACAATTTTTAAGGACTCTCTTCAAAAGCTTCCTGTCTGAACTGTTTCTTTGAGGCAGGGAGGGTTGTCACAGACACCCTTAATGTCTCTCATTTTCAATTATGAGTCTGTAGTCATCAATACCACTGCCAAAGAATCTTCCTTGCCCATAGTAGCCAGCCACAGCTTGGATCATGAACTTTCATGTGGTTCCTGGTGGCATCATGGACCACGGACATCCATATAGCCTCTGGCAGCAGCATATAATACAGACCTCCACACGGCTTCTGGCAGCAGTATGGACCACGGCGACAACAACACGGATTATATTTATAACCTGAGTATCATGATTCTTTATTGACAGCAGACATATTTGCTAGCACAAATAAGGGGCAGCCCAAGAATGATGGCTAGGTAGCATCCACAGTGCCTTCTAGTTGCCTTTCAAAATGGCCCAGAACCAACCTGGACTATCTGAGTGCCTAACCACCCCAGTAAGCACTCTGAGTTTCAAATTTCTTGTGCCAACTTCACTGCTTAGAAATCGCTTTGCTTCCCTTCCAAGCTCCTCTTTGGGGGGCTGTTCTGTAAAGAAACACAGGACAGAATTACAAAATTCTTAAAAACCCTAAAGCACCCCCTATATCATGCCCTTGAAAACAAACACTTACTCACAAATTTCCAAATTCACTCTAGACAGTTCAAGGGGAAAAAATCTCAACTGTGGATATTCACAGAGAATTACTGCTGAATCAACACCCAACTGGATGCTTAATGATTAACTACATTTCCATGTTAAAATATTCACTACAACCTTGCCTAGCAATTACATCTTGTTTTAGAGCACTTCTTAGGAGTAATGGTGAAGGATAACCAATTTACAATCTTTCTTCTATAAATAAAAACACACATAAGTAATGGAACTCAATGTCTACAGCAGATTTTCTTCCAAAGCAAGGAAGTAACTCTCTGGGGACAGGTATTACAGATAAATAACAGTATTGAAACCCATCATGCTGTTTGGCATACTATTTGCTTCTAATAGACACTGGGTAAGTACTAGTGAATATGCTGAGGAGGTATATGCGTTTTGATGATTATGACTGATATCAAAAGTGATCAGAAGCTATCAGCAAATGCATATATTTGCATATCAATTCCCTAAAATTGTGGATATTTTTTAATTTTTAATTTCATTTTATGTGTATGAAATATGTTTGCCTACTTTATATCTATAAACTGTATCTACACCTTGTGCCCATGGAGGCCAGAGATGGGGTGTCAATTCCATGAAGTAGAGTTATAGCTGGTGGTCTAGAGTTATAGATGATTCTGAGTCACGATGTGGGCGCCAGGGATCCCGGGTCCTCTGGAAATGAAGCTAATGCTCTTACCCACTGAGTCTTCTCTCCAGAGCCAGTGGATGTGTTTTTAGTACTTGCAGTGTCGTTAAGGATTGAAAGCAATGATTTTCCAAGTCTGATTCCCTAATGACAAATTATAAGATAATCATTCACTTCGAAGCCACGTTCAGTGTAAGATGATAACTGAAAAAATAAGACTTGACTGTGTCAGCTGAACAATTAACAACATTTTTTGAACTATACATGTGTAATGTGCTTGTTCATCCTGCCCACTTACACATTGGAAGATTTTGAATTATGTCAGTAGAAATGTATAAAAATACAAGTTAAGCTTGTATTTTTAAACATTTCTAAATGCAAGCAAT